CTTGTGAGATATAACCATAACATGTATAGTGGTAACTAACCAGGCCCCGTTTGTCTAATAAATATACTGAACTGAGCCCTGTTCGGTGGCAACAACTTGACTGCGAGTTGAAACTGCTCTGAGTGGAAGAGGGGAGACAACTTCTTATTAACGACAACTTGTTGGTAGGTTGTCTCCCCTTAATCACCTTGTACAACTGGAAGCTGTAACACTGTCAATAAAAGACAATACATATATCAACATTGCAGAAAGACAGTTGGCTATAAAGAACAAATCATCCAGGAGCTGGTATATATATGTCCAAAATACCCTGGAGAAATACAACCTACCGTCTGCACTGGAACTTCTCGAAAACAACAAGTTGAGAGTGCCATAAAACAATTTTGGATGAATCGTATTCATGAGCTACACAAAGGGAAATCTACACTCGCCCTCATCCATCCAAATTCAATGACAATTTCAAAGGTGCATCATATCCTTGAATCGGCGCCACTGGATACACTGTCAGTCAGGAAAGCGCTCACGAAAGCCAAAACCGCATTCGGAGTTTATCACCTACAATACACCAGAGCAAAATATCAAAAAACATCAAACCAACCTGCTTAATTTGTAAAGACGGGAACGAGGATATTGATCATTTTATATTACGCTGTGTGTCCCTGGAATGCACCAGACTCCCCTGCACAGTACAAATCAACAAAATTATATTGGACAGCTGTGACGAAGTCGTGTCGGCAACTATACTAGGTGACTGTCGACCTCTACTACAGATTATATTAGATGTGAAGAACCAGTGTTGATACTACCTCCCAGCTCGAAACGTTATCCAGAAACCTGTGTTTTGCGCTCCATAATAGGAGAATCGTACTGTAATCTAACAATGCTTTATGTACAAGGACAATGACTACAGAGTGGTATCACACGGACCTGATAATTTGTTACAGCTATATTTGGACCTAAACTAAGGTGTTTATAGTAATTCTACACGTTTAGGGGGTTTAGATAAATATTCGGTAAACATGCCACCCCCCAATGATGATAATATACGAGAAGGGAGGAAAGCTCTCGATTTCGAAAATATCGGCACATGCAAATAGTGGCTCTATGACTGCGAAAAATAAAAATAACTAAAAGGACGTTGGTACACAGTTCAAAATCAGAGATAGGGGAGGCAACAGAGATATAAGTACGTTTCTCGGAATACATCCAACAAGTCAATAAGGCAAATGAAACTAGGGAACTTGCCATGAAGTATTCCCAATAAATTAATGCTGTTCAAAGTATCAATTGGAAGAGGCAGATTTAGAAGAGAAATTCCATGCCTGTCGAAAAATAATAACAAAAGGGCAAACACGCGACAGTATTTGAACAAATGTTTAACTTTTTTTTCCCTATGAAGATTGGATAGCAGAACGTACAAAATTGGGTCCACAAGCAGTCTTGGGTAAGCATAATTATGACGTCATGAAGCATGCAAAGTCACTGATTTCCCCGCCATTTTCACATGAACCTGCCCCGGTATCAAGGAACCTATCCAAAATTGATAGTTCTATAAATGCGAATATATAGTACGCTCAAAACGAAAGTCAATACTAGGTTTTTATCGCTATCATTTTCACTCGTTTTCGTAATTTGATAATGAGTTTCCTCCGACGTTTTCTAGTGTGAATGGTCCCGTCCAGTCAACAAAATTGCTAAATACTCGAAGTTGTAAACGCTCCCCGGCCTATCGTTATAATGGTTCAGTCATTATTACGTTGTTTTTTATATTGATTTCGATTATATCTGAGTGTAGGTAGATAGAAACATATTGCGGCAAACAGAAAAAAGCGCGATAATGCTGCTTTTCTCTCTCTCGGTAGCGATACTCGCCTAGTGTGGTCAGGACGATAGTACACTGGTACTAGTCTACTTACTAAAAAATAATTCATTCGATGATAATTATAATAATGATAATTTTATTCAGGTAAAGGGCATGTGTTACAGGGTTAAAATGCATGTTTACACCATTTGTAATCACAGATAGTTTTGAATCACAGTTCTAGTTACATTTATCATCAACTGTTTACAAATGAATGAGTACAATAAAACATGAATAAAATTTATGACAGTTATAATATAAAAGTTTTGAGTTTCAAATATCCATAAAAAGTTTAACTGATTAGCCTTTACCAAGGATGGATCATAAAAGCTGATAAAACAACTTATTTCCAATGGGGTCATTACATAAAGAAAAGCTAGGTTTCAGTCAAGAATGACAGTTTGAAAATTTGAATAAAAGTTTGGCACAAAAAATAAAATCAGCACTAAAAAATGAAAAGCTGGAGGTATGATGTTATACAGTAGTAAATGAAATCACTTTCGTGTTCTTTTTGGGCCATTTCCATCAGGTGTTTTTTGACATGAAACATTTGATGGAGCTGGGTAAAGAGTTCCAGTCGTTGACACCAGTGTGATGAAACGTTGATGATTCACCACACTCTTTATACGTCGAACTATAAAATTGTATTCGCTAGATCTGGTACAGTACAAGTTGCTATTTCTAATAAAACCCTCGCACAAATATTCTGGGCAAGACTGGTGACAAATATTGTAAACAACAATGAGACGAAGCTGACTGACTCTGTTTTTTACATTAACAGTAATCTTTTGGCGACAGTCAAATTGTAAAATAAATCTAACAACGTTACTTTGGGCGGATTGGTTGAGTGGTTAACACTTAGGCCTTCCACGCAGGCGGCCGGGGTTCGATCCCCAAAGTCGTCGCACGCATGGAATATCAGAGAAAGTGTTTTTCTCCTGCCCACACAACTCCAACAACCCAGGTGGAGTATAAAATGGTCTTGGGTTGGTCTTGCGGTATCTGTGATGTAGCATGCAAGTGAGGTGGTACTATAAAAGATGCCGTTGGAAGCACGGTCCCACTACAAACAGAACACAATACATCTGTGTATTGTGTTATTATTATTTTGCATGATCTGAAGTTTCTGTTGATACTTTTTAGAAAGACCGCTGTATCAGGATGAGTTGGCAAAATCAAAGTTACATTGAATTAAGGCTGAACACAATGTTTTTCTAGAATTAAGAGACAGGCATTTGCTATTTCTATATAAAAATTTGAGCTTTTGATTAACTCTATAAATGACTTTGAGTATTATGCTTTCCCCAGATAAGAATTTATCCAAAAGAACACCAAGATACTTGACAGAAGATTTAGATTATATCTTTAGTCCATTACATTCTACCCGGAAATTGTCTACATGTAAATTACTCATTTTCCTTTTAGCTCCAAAAATAATACTTTCAGTGTTACCAAGATTCAAGAACTTTTGTAAGTTTTATAGAAATTACTTTTGGGTCTTTATGTGAGAAAAGTCTAGTACTGTCACCTGTACATATAGCAACAATTTACAATCTGAGTCAATACTAATTTGCATATCATTAACAAAGGTTAAGAACAACAAAGGTCCCAATAAATTCCCTTGAGGAACCCCACGGGTTACATCACCCACATCAGAGTTCACACAATCCACTTGTACAATTTGCTTTCTGTTAGATAGGTATGACGTAAAGCATTCAATAGATTCGACTCCCATAACTTTAAGCTTTTGACAAAGTATACTGTGGTCGACGGTGTCAAACGCCTTTTGAAGGTCCAGCAAAGCCATGCCAGTAAAAATACCATTAGCTGTTTGAGTTCTTATGTGGCCCATAAGGTGTATTAAGCAAAAGCCTGTAGAAAAAAGAGCTTCTAAAACCTTACTGAAACTCATATCATAAATTCTTAGAAACTTATTTTCTGATACATTTTTAATATGAATTTTAAGTTGGTTAGGAATTCTTTTGAGGTAATATTTGTTTACCTTAGATGACATGACATGAAAAATACCTGTAGGACTTGGAAGGTTTTCAACAAGTTTTGAAGCAATATTTGTAGAAAAAAAAAACTCATTAAAATTATTGGCAATTTTTGAATCATTACCATCAATTTTCAGGACCACATTTGAGTCTTTTCATTACCAAGTTTTTTAAATTGATTCCATACATTTTTAGAATTGTTTTTATTTTCCGCTTTTTGGTCATCGAAATAGGCAGCTTTGGCCTTTTTGGATCGTCGTTGGACTAGGTTTCGTAGTCGACAAAAGGATTTATAGTCTTCTGACTTACCAAATTTATTAAAAAAATACAATGAATTGTCTCTCTGATGAATAATATCTAATATATCAGCAGGTCAATTGCCTTTGTAGCAATGACCCGAACTTTACCAAAGGAAAACTTTCCCCATGGGGCTCCAAGTAATAAATTAATAAAAACATCTTTGCCATACTTTTTGGTTGATCTTATTTTTTCATTCCTATGTTTGTTAAAAACACACTTGGTTGACCTTCTGGTGCAAAAGGTCAGGTAGTGATCACTAAGACCAATGGTTATTACTCCCGCCTGACTAATGTTTTCTTAAGTATTACACAAAACATGTTCAATTAGTGATCTGCAGGAATCGGTAACTCTAGTGGCCTTATCAATAATTTGATTGAGGTTAAATAAATTAAGTACGTCAATGTATGCTTTGTACATCTCCCTATTCTCGGTTCAAACATCAGATATTAAAATCTCCTAAAATAATGATTTCACGGTCAGCTTTTAATTGCAGTGTTCCAACAATAAGGGCTTGGTTTTAGCACGGAATTAGATTTTTTATCTAAGTCCGTGGTTTTAGGCAGAAAAAGTTCCAGGAAGAGAGCTCGAGTCTCATCAGGTTCTGGGCAGACATCGTCAAATTGTATAGGGTTAACAGTAAGGTCCTCTACATGTTAAAGAAATTTGACAATAGAAAAAAAAGAGAAATTGTTGGATTTAGACAGAGACGTATATACTACATGGCTTGATACGTCTCTGATTTAAGAGGTTTTGAATTGAAGACAATGCGATACTACTCGTGTAAGTACTCGTCGGAGCAATATTCCGGATGTTGAATGCGCCGGTTTCCTTACCGGAAGTTAGTAAACACGAATGATTTTTAAGGGAAAATGGCGGATGGCGTGGACATCGATTTATACGACAATTTAGAGGACGGGTTTGATCCAGTTGTAAGTAGTTACGCTATCAGACTCTGCCGTGCATTGTATTTTATCTTTTTATACATTAAAATTATATGTTATACCTGTAGCAATTTTCCGGACAAAGAAATGACTCGATTTTCTCTTTGCATGCATTCGTCAATGAGCCGCCATTTTTTGTTTTAGAGCTCACTGACTTTGTAGGCTTGATTCATTGTTATTTCATGATATTTTTCATGCCCATGGACTTGTTTAAAATTGTGAGATGGAGATCAGATTCAGGTTTTAATGGATGTAAAACATATTAGATGATACCCCGGTCAGGATCTGATAATCAGACATAAAAATTCACAAAAGAAGGGTGCCTCGCGTGTGGCCAAGCTCCATTTCTTGTCTTGACTTTGTTCCGAACATATTTAGAGATTTGATAGTGTGATCTTTGTTTTGTTTATTTTTGAAAATGACAACGATATATACAATCAATTCCGATGCATCACAAATAAACATCACAAAATGTTGATTTCAATAAGGATTAACGGTAAAGGGAGATAACTCGAATAGTTTTCCGTATTTTTAAGAGAACATTCAGTATTTTAGAAATACTTTTCCCAAACAAAAAAAAACAAAACTTGCATGTTTTTTTTTGGTGTGTTAAGTTTTGTTTTATTTTATTTTTACAAAAAAATAAATAAATAATGGTATTGATTTCTATAACCCATGATTCCTAAATTCATTTCAGGACAATGATGCGATTCCAGATGATGACCTGTACAACGATGTTATAACTGCATCCTCCAGTTCAGAAAGAATAGATTTACCAGTAAGATATAATGGAAGGTTTTGATGCTGCCTTTTATTACATTTTTACCAGTGAATAGTTGAAAATTATTCATTCTATAAAAGTGATATTTTCCTCTTGTTGATATTTATATGCTGATTTGACCAATCAAAACACTGATAACAAACTACCACGAGAAAAAATACAAGTGGCTCATCTGGTAAAAGTCTGGTTAGCTTAACAATAAGCAGGCCTCAAGAAAAATTTGCACATTGTACTGCTCAGAATAATCATCAGTTTAATACCTATAATTGGGGGATTATTATCTTGGGGAACACAATGTAAGTCAGTAGACTATGCCGTTCAGCAATTCTAACTATTCTATCTGAGAAAACTCACGTCAAACACAGTGTCTGTGTCCTGTGTTAGGCTAAGCGATTGGCAGATAGTATAAGAGAACCAGGGTCATAAGTATAACTTAGATCTAGGTGGTGGTGTTATTTTACTATCAGGATATATATAAGTGGTGACAAAACAACTTGCATTTTCCCACTCCCCACCATTGTAGATTCGGCACTAAACAACTCATAGTTATCAGAGTTGATATGACAGGACTTTTTCTAAATAATCAAATTATGATGGTAATTTATGATACTTTATTTAAAATATGAATTTAATTGTCTACCAGGGGTGTAAAAAATCCTTAGTTTTAGCTTGGGCTAGTGAAATTTAGAGGCCGGGGCTAGTGACTTTTTTAGTGTGTCATAACTAATAATAATGCTTGTGTTCTATTCATTATAAGGGTAACCAATTAAGATTTTAAGCCAATCAATTACTGGTAATTTTCACTACAATATCTATTGGAACACATGGAGTAATTCACGCCGTATTGATGATGACGCTTGTGAAATGTATTTGTTATAATTAATTGAAGACACTGTTAGATATCCTCTTTATATCCCCCCTACTCAATTTTCAAAACTACAAAAAAATCATCTTCAACTTCCTAACTGTGTTAAATATAGGGGTTTCTTTTGATGGCTGTCTGATTTCAAGAAAAAGCTTTGCATGTCATGGAAACATTTAACTCTCATACACTAGTAATGACCTACTTTCAGTGTGAGATGATTTTGTTTAAACCAAACCTACAATTTGCACTCTTTTATTTAACAGCTAAATGATGGGGAAAGCAAATCCATGTCAACTATATCTGTCCCTCATGGATACACAGGGAGAAGAATCAGTCTTTATGTTGGAAATCTAACATGGGTAAGTATAACTTACAAGTCTCCGGGGGTAACGAGGGGAGGGAAATTAGTGTGTGCGATTACCTTACTTAGATGAGTATTTGAAAGTTGTTATAATTGATAGTCATTTTTTTCTGTTTTCTTTTCTAGTAACTGAAAACATAAATGGACAAATACAGAGCAATCAACATTATCAGATTATTGATGAATTACCAGGAACAGTAATAAATATGAACTTCTCAACTGTATGAACTGTAATTAATTCTTTCTTATCGTCATGTAACATTGCAGTTTTATTAGGGAGAAAAAAACATGCTTGTGAGAGCAATAGATGTTTGGAATGTTATTGTGCACGGTGCCAAGGTTCCTATATGGGTAACAATTAAGCTGATGTGACCTTTAAAAGTTCATCTGTTAGGGGTTGAACCTGGGACTACAGATATTAGTCCAGTGCTTGAGCTGTCGTGGAATTTTCACGGAGTCATGCATTCACAAGACAACATGGTTCACCGCTGTGACACAGTGATATGTTCAGTGGTAGGTGATGGACCTCTGCTGTAAGTCAGTGATATTCTTTATGACCTGTTTTGTATTTTTTAGTGGACGACAGATCAGGACCTAACAGATGCTGTAGCTTCCATTGGCGTCACAGATCTGGTGGAAATCAAATTCTATGAAAACAGAGCTAATGGCCAGTCAAAAGGGTACACTAATTTCTGTTATGCTTTCTTATTTCATCAAAGTAACTGTTCAAGTATTAACCTGTGATTTGGAAGTGAAAATGGCGGATGGCATGGATATAGATTTGTATGCTATACATATTTGCATCTTGGGCTCATGCTCTGTCTACAGACTTGAAACAAATTTCACCATATCCGTTAAAAATGCGATCCTGAAAAATTAAAAAAAAATGTTTATGACTTTCCTAAAAAAACCTGTACAATACTGGCTGATCTACTTTGTTAATATGATAGTTAAACGATTTTTACCAATATCTTGTGTGCTTTTGCTTACAGCTTCGCAGTGGTAGTTGTTGGCTCAGACTCTTCATCACGTCACATCTTTGACAAGCTCCAGAGGAAGGAGATCCATGGCCAGGTGCCAGCTGTCACACACTGCAACAAACAGGCCCTCAGTCAGTTTGAGGCCCAGGCACGCAAGGGCGATGCCTCCCCACAAAATGGAGAATCTTCTTCAAACAAATTCCCCAGGGAAGGTGGGTAGAGTTATAACTATATCCTTAAAGATGAATAAAACATGTCATGTTAAAGAGGGAAATTCCTTTTTATTGGCAGTGGTTCTGAAACTTATTTATTCTAGGTACCTATATTATCTATCAATAAGTATGCATGTATGAATGTTTTTGTGCTAATTTACTTGACACAGAAAAAAATAAAATATTCCACTTTCACAATAGGTTATTTTTATGAACCCAATGATATCAAGGAAAAAAACAGGCTTATAACTTACCGCAGGATATTTCACAAAAGAGTTCATTATTGCCATATTTTGTTCTAACTGAGGCATTTCCTTGTTAAAAACATACTCATCACATATGGACTTTGGTTTGTTGTGATATGCATATGAGAAAGAGAAAATGACAAGACATCAGGAGGTTGAAGTCAATGTAGTTTTCAGGCCCACTTAACATACTGTTTAAATGAAAAAAAAGAGTCCTTAATTATTATCTTAGATATGATATATTTTTTTTTTATCATTAAAGTTAAACAATATGGAACATAAGAAAACCCTGTAGGAAATAGGACTGCAACAATCAGAGAGTATTATGATAATACAATTTAAGTGTCAAAACAAAATAATGACTGAGAGCTGTTCAAGTGTAGACCTAAAACAATATTATAAGACTCTTTCATGTCCAGGGGTGTAGGATAGGGAAATTCCAACTGAGGGGTTTTCAAATTTGGTAAAACCTGAGGCTTTGTCGAGGGTTTTGCAAAATTTTAAAAATCCTGAGGGTTGAATTTCCCTTTCCTACACATTTGGGCATGCAAGAGTATTTTTCTCTCATTCCAACTACAAGAATAAGCTCAGAAACCATGAAAATATGTATGGACTGGCTACCATTATGAAAATATCAATTTTTTGTGAGCTTTGTAGACGAAAACGAATCTGTCAGCCAGATTAAGCATACCCCATATTTGTGAACGGAGTTTGGGCAGAAAAATTAATAACATCTTCTAACTAATTTATCATTAAAAGTTCTAATTTCATCACGTCGCCTTTTCCGCATTTCGGCATTGGAGATTTCCAAATTCATGACATCACTTCATTTGTTGAGCCATTGTGACGTCGGGTCACGTGAAATGGGGTGTCCAATAGAAATTTTCTACACCCCTTTCTTACCCTGGACAGCTCTGTCTTACACACACGGAAATAAGAGAAAAGATATTATTAAAGCAGATTTCATGATCTCATGTTTGTGGAATGTAAATGAAAGTTTAAAATACTTTACCCAATGTTGGGTTCTGGATTTATGTGCATTTCAATATCAAAATATTGTTTTCAATTTCATATCTATGGGCATCCTTTAATACCAGGGAGTATTTGTAAGAATGTTAATTTCATGTAAAATCCTTTTCTGCCAGTAGTCTTTTCTCACAGTATATAATATACCAATATCTGTGATAATATTAGCATTAACCTTTTCTGTCATACAGGAAACAAGCCACCTCGTGGCCCCCCTCATGGCCCTCCTCATGGCCCCCCTCACGGCCCTCCTAATGGCCCCCCTCATGGCCCCCCTCACGGGCCCCCTCACAACTCTCCTCATCCAGGAGGTCCCCCACAACAGAGGATGCAGTCTAAAAACCAACCAAACATGATGCCACAGAGACATCTGCACCCACATAATCAGGGTCCCAGACCTATTGGGCCACCTCCACCTGGTCCAATGCCACCACATGGTGGATCTCCTTTCCCAGGTAAGCTATTCAACAATAACAAGGATTTTCAAATTTGGTAAGGTACTGACAAATTGTTACATGTAGACACACAATGATTATTTAGATTTTTCACCCACTGGCATTGAAAGCATCTAACCCCTGGACCAAAAAAACCACCCCGTCAATAATTAGGTTTCCTGCTGATTGCTTCAATGGCAACTAATCAAATTCTATGGGTGGTACCTCCAAACAAAACCTGAAGTCTTGGTGTGGGATGAATGTTTTACTGACTAGCTCTTAACATTACTCGTCAATTAATATAAAATATTTTCAATTTGTGATCAAATGTATTATTTAGTTCTGAAGAAAACTATTTTAAACAATTATACTTCACTGTAATACTTATTATTTGTTGTTTCAATGACACCACACACTTTCAATGTGTCATATGTAATAATACCATTTGTTGTATAAATATTTTAAATAATAATGAGAGGATGATGTCATCATCTTAGCGAAGTTTCATTATCAGCTGTCCAAGAAATGGATAATGGGAACAAGAGAAAACATATTTTAGTTCCTGTCAACTACCCAGGTATATGCTGTTATTTGTTTACAATGAATTGGTGTTGTAGGCGGTCCCCCGCGTCATGGTGGACCTCCACAGATGGGTGGCCCTCCAAACATGAATATGCCACCTGGCCCTATGCACCCAGGTGGTCCTATGCCCCCGAGGAGTATTGGACCTCCACCAGGAATGGTATGTATATACATCGGTTTTATGATCTAAGTATCTAAAACTTAATTACAACAAAATCTAATTTGCAATTTCTTGTTTACAGTTTGTTCTAAATTTTCAAATTATGTTTTAGCAAATGAGAGGCCCTCCTCCCCAAGGAATGAGAGGCCCCCCACCCCCAGGTCATGACCCAAGAGGACCTCCCCCTAGACCAGAATGGGACAGACCCCCAGGTACATGACACTTATACATATATGTTGGCTGTTTTACAAAATATTTATTCTAAATATTTCTATAAACAAATTCCTATCATCCATATATTAATGGTATTAAAATTCGGCATAAAGATTTAACTAGTTAGAATTTTTTTATTCTAACCAGGATCCTCCTGAATAGTTGGAATGGGATCCTTGCAATTTAAAGGGCCCTTTTTAAGATCTATGCTTTAAAGGGATAGTGGGATGTAATCAACACAAGCTCTGCATAATATAAACAGATCAGAGAGTTCTATGACAATTTTATATGCTAAAGAAAAAAACTTGAATTTAACATGGTTTTGAACATTTGCTATCAACATACCATAAAATCTACACTATAAAACGTACTTCTTAAATACTGTTCACAATTGGGGGGGGGGGGGGGGAGGACTGTTATAAAATTGTACTGTAATTTGATGATATTTTCAATGTGTCAAAGTTTCAGTGATTACTGTTTTTGTTTTATATATTTATATAAAAGGCTCCTTTTCTCAAATTGGAGTTGGATACTGTGAAAGAACTTGTTCAGGTGTAGAAATCTACAATACAAATGTCCCATATTAAATTTAGAATCCATTCTGTTGTTTGGTGAACTGTGGAAAGTGTAATAGAGATAGGAATACATGCAAGCAATTGATTCATTTCATTTCAGGTGTGTTGTTTTGTAGATTGCACTATAAATTTAGGTTGTAAAATAGCTTTCTAGTATTTAGAGACTACACTCTATGTATTTTTCTGGTGTGTTATATTTGGGCCTGTGGCTTGCCTTTTTATATGTATAGATTTTGCACCTATGTTTTTCCAGAGCTACACAGAGCTGATTACTTACCACAGATAAGATTAAATTTTTTGGTGTATGTATATTCAAATATTTCCTTAACCCTTTCAACCCTATGTAACTTGAGTGAACTCTACCATGCATTAATTTGGATGAGTCCATTTTGATCTACAGTGGTGAAAGGGTTAAAACTTTAATTATTTCGATCTGAGCCAGATGGGGACTGATATGTATCTCTCCATGATGAAAACAATTTGTTTCCCTTAGGGGAAAAAACCCTGAGTTAGATCATAGGGGCAATTTATATTTTTAGGTCACCTGCTCAAGTGACCTATTGCTATCCGTTTTCGTCCGTCGTCGTCCGTCGTCCGTTAACATTTTACATTTCAAACTTAAAGTCAAGTTCTGCTGGGCCGATTGAACTGAAAGTTGGTAGGAATGATCGCCTCATGGTCCTGACAAAGTGTTGTTATTTTT